GTATTTTAAGCTCGTGTAGTGTTGACGACCTGCGCATTGCTGAGGAGTATGGAATGCCAGTCGAGATAATTGAGCTTGCAAAATATAGATAATCTTTTTACATAGCGCACGATGGTTACTTACGATGGTGAAGTCAAAGGAAACAACTGTACACATGAGTTTTGAAGTCATAGTGAATGGGCAAGCGAGAAATGGATGCCAATTCACTACATCGACTAAAATATATTTATTTATTGCAAATGGCAGGCGTTTTGATAGTTATCATTAGCCTTTAGCTGACTTCGGGATTCACAGAGGGGAGGAACATCAAAATGTGACAAATTCGAGAGGGGGAACAGAAGAGTGATTCACGGATGTAAAAGAGACAGACAGACACAAAGGTAGAAAAAAGGTGAGGTGAGTACTGTTGAAGTAGTCGAATATGACATACAGTGTTGTCATGGTAGTTTGAAGTGAGAAGTCAACTGCCGATTAATAGACTTTTTTGCCGTATGAGCATACGTTGCCCAGGATGCACCACATGGAGGTAAGTCTATCGCGCACCCCACATCGACTAAAATGTAATTTTTATAGGCCTCCAAATTATTGTTATGCAAGTGTAAGTAAAATTTAAACAAGCTTTCATTTTACTTTTGGGTTAAGCAATCCTAAATGTTTACACCTCAATCGAGATTATGACGAATTGCTATTCACCTCTCCTCTAATTATTTGTCAGATGTTCCTTTATTAGTCAACCTTGTTTCCTTTTTAAAACCGTGCTAGTTTATGGAACCTCTATCTGTCTTTCTGTGTTGATGTCCAATTAAATTAATCTCATGATTATTGTTACCCAAGGCGATAAGCATGAACTTGGGGGAATCAATTGGAATCGGTTAATTGGATGCCAACAAATGGTAAAGGAGAGAGTTGATCAAAGCGATACCATATACTAAGTCGATCCTTACTTCTCTGCAATATCTGCTTCCCCACAGCACTTACAGTTAAATAAACTCCATATTAATTTTCAACGACTTGTACGGGGTTCGATTTTAGTACCTTTTTGTTCGCGCCAGTGTCCTTATCCTCTACATGCTCACTCTCCCTTTTTAGGTTCATGTTGGTTCTGGCAAGTAACCAACCTGAGCAGTTCGATTGGGCCATCAACGATCGTATGGATGAGATAGTCTATTTCGATGTACCGAAGTTACGCGAGCGTGAACGCATGATACGCCAGTACTTCGATATGTACATCCTCCAGCCCTCTCTGGATAAGAAACAGCGCATTCGTCTTGCCGATAGTATTGATTATACTGCCAAGTGCAAGGAAGTTGCCGCTCGTACTGAAGGTTTGTCTGGTCGTGAGCTGTCCAAGATTGCTATTGCCTGGCAGGTTAGTATTGATTCTCGACTAATTATATTAGTGCGGTTTTTATATATTTGTTATTGCTGTTATTCATGGCAAAGCAAACAACAATGTCGGGTCTATAAGAAGGAGACGATTTTAGATTAAGAATGGAAAAGTATATTTCATTTGAATTCCAATCTATTCAGGTTGTCTGTCACTTCATATTTACAATAATTCATTGTTATATTCTACAGGCAAAGCAAAAATTGTCAGTCTTTGATTGTAACTAAAGCTACTGAAATCGGTTCACAGTAAGATTTAAAAGAGTAAAGTTAAGTTGATCTAGTAGGTGTCGATAATGAGGTATCAACGTGTCTTCCTCCACTATGTTTTTCATTTCGAATTGTAATTTTTTACGTTTCTTATAAGGGTCTTTAAATAATTCCATTCTTAACTTTTTGAATGGATTAGATATTCTACTTGAGGCTTAATGAAATGAGGTAGAATCTCAGTAATGATTATAGTTTATCTTAATTAAATAGATTTGACGTTCGTTAGTAGTTTAATAGTTAAAATCTTGTCCTCATTTTCAGTCCTGCATTATTGTTCTACTTATCCATTTACTGAAATCGTTTAAGTAGACAAGATTGTATTTGTTGCATTTCCATTGTTTTATTTTCCCTCTCCTTTCCAGACCATGGCATTCTCAAGTGAAGACGGAACACTGACTGAGGAAATGATGGATAATGTTGTAAACAATGCAATTGAAGCGAATAAGAAGAAACAAGAATGGCGCCAGCATCGCCTTCCTGATGCCCATGTCAATTTGCCTCAACTCCCTAGCACCAGCAGTAGCGAAAAGTAGATTGTAATATCGTGCATACTTCCACCTCGTCCCCTTGTAGTATAGTCAATTGGCGATCGTTTGTTCTTCCTATTGTGTCTATATTGAATGAGTTTTAATGTTAATATTGATGGCTATAAACTATGACTTCTTTATGCAATTTCTGTTGAAAATGCTCATATATTCATTTCACTGGCTTAAAATCCAAGCGAATTTGTGAAAATTGCCCATTCGAAGAGTAAGCTTGAACACTGTGTTGCTGGGCTGTGCATGTCGGCGATTTTCATTAACATCAAATGCTAAGATGTTGTTGTCAAAATTATCTGCGGCTTGTAAAGCGAATATTTATTTATATCAAATGGCAGGCATTTTGATAGTTATCATAAGCCCTTTAGTTGACTTCAGGCTTCACAGAGAAGAAGGAACATCAAAGTGAAAAAAAGTCGAGAGGGGGAGGGGAACAGAAGAGTATTTCAAAGATTTAAAAGAGAGACACAAAGGTAAAGTGAAAAAGATGAGGTGAGTACTGTGGAAGTAGTCGAATAGGACATACAGTGAGGTGATGGTGTTTTGAAGTCGGAAGTCAACTGCCGAATAATAGACTTTTTTGCCGTATGAGTATACGTTGACCAGGGTGCACCACGTGGAGGTAAGTCTATCACACACCCCTGTAAAGCGAATATAAATTCTTCAAGTTTAAAGCTCATGTGAATTCGTAAGTCTGAGATTTAGTGTCCATTGAAGATTTGCTTGATTGGCCACCGTGGTCAAAATGCTGACCAAGAAATGGAAGAAGAGTAAATGCTGCGGGAACTGCTAATCAATGGGATTGGGAGGCGCACTATATTCACGTGGCAAGTAAATAGCCTTCACCAAGACAAATGAAGTAGCTCTTGAACCTTAACTAAGACCTGAACTCCAATTCCGGCGGCTAAATGAATGCGAACATGTTTAATCGACAAGATTTCATAATTTTGGGAGTGTAGATGTTTTTTGTTCAATTTATAAAAAAGAGGAAAGGTGTCTAACACTTCACAAATTCTGTTTGCGAGTCGAGAAATGAAGGTAATAGAGTATTAAGGAGTGAGGTGGCAATATAGAATACAGCAGCATTAACCCGACGAGTAGGTAGTGACTGCCATCAGAGTGATCTGGATCACTGATATTACCTAGAGGAACGCTGCGTTGCCAAGACTACTTGTAATAATAACGTGAGTAAAACGACTGCTTACCAAAACCTTTCAATCAATAACAATTACTTATGCAGGTAAGTAATAAAAACAGTATATTCTATTTAATTGATGCCATAAATGGACATTGCAGGCAATACCCTGCCATTTTGTCTATTTTAGCCTGATCTTAAGTTCCGTTAAATCAGTTTAAATAAACGGTGTTTCAGGTAAGGACTTTCGCATATTCAACAATAGTGTTTCAGATAAAACGGGAAGCAGAATGGATATGACTTTCTATTCATATTGTTGCCCTAAACCATTCTATAGGTAGGATCCACGCATCGAGTAACCTTGGCTGTAAGAAGACTCCCACGACCTTAAAACGTCGGCTTTCAATACGAAACTCGATTTGGAATTCTATTTCCACTAGAGAGATTTGGGACACAAAAATTAGCATTTTATTGGCTTTAAACGGTGGTTAATAAATACAATATTAGGCCCTTATAACGCAAAATACCGGTAAACTGCAGTGCAATTTAGCCTACAAAACTCAACAGAAAACAAGGATATTACAAGTTACATGTGAGGGTTTTTATTCAAAATTTAAACACGATAAAACCCGTGCGAATTCGAAGGAAGAGAGGCAAAAGGGTGGAAATTCAACAAACACTTAGAATATTTTCCCACCAAATCCAAAGGTTTGCTGGATGGGCAAGAAGTAATGTGTGTTCCAACCGGTCTTGGTTCCCTCCTTGTCATTAGTAGGAACGTTGCTCTGTGTGACCTTGAGACGTGTCCCTGTCTCGTTGCGGTCAAATTCTAATTTGAGTAGACTCATGTGACCCTCTGGCCAGTTGCTCTTACGCCAACTCATGGATATCATCTTGTTTTCCTCCTAAAAAGAAGAGTAAAAATAAGTAGAGAAATAACGCATTGGGGGGGGGGGGGTATAGCAAATGAACCTACCAATTCAATGAAGTTGCCGGAAACATTTCCATTGAAAATAGAGTACTTCCCACCTGGGGTGGCCTGGACTGTTGCATTGTCACGAGTGAAGTGTTTGGTCAGCTAAATAATAAAATGACGTTAAAAAGGAGTACAAGTATTCGAACCATTCAGTTCATATTACGAAAAAGTTACTTCGAAATTGGGTTTGGAAACAATTCACAATCAAGTAGAACTCTAAATCATCTAAGAAACAAGAGTTGATGGCAAGAATATCACTACCCCTTAGAAAAATATGCAAAGTGACTCTGTCCATAAACTAAACATCCGAAAGATAGAGCAGTAGTTCTATTAATATCCTTTAAGAAATCAATGAAAACTAGGACGTCTATACCAACCCCTTATGATAGCAATGTGCGAAAATTCATTTGTAGAAATGGTCAATGGAGGAACGACAGAAAGTGAATTTAAAAATCAGAGAATTATGACAAGTTGGAAAAGGAGATTGTTCTAAGAGCTAGAGAGTTAGACATAAAGCTACTGAAAATATTGCCAATATAACGATAAAATAAAGCGTATTTGCGGATGCTCCAATGGGAATTTTACATGAAGCTCCAAACCAAGAAGGGTTTTACAGTCTTCTCCTACAAAGAACTTAAAAATCAAATACAATAATCTCACGATATCACGTCATTTTCAAAACCAACTCAATTAAAATTAGAGAACAGATATCAAAAAATCAAGACTCATTGAAAATACGAAGTGCCCAGAAAGCTTCGAGTGCTAGGATAGAAGTTCATATCGAAGCGGAGATGATCATCCAAATAGGTAACAGGAGATGAAAGCAAATAAAGAGAATCCCATAGATAGGCGAGTAACCTACTCTAACTTAAAGTAAGATAAGTGAAAAAGCAACAAAGATATTCACCTCCTCTGTGACGAAAACTCGGTAGAGGTCATTTGGAGTACACATAAAGTCCTCCTGAATTGAAATCTGGACAGTTTTCCCGGTGTCATTTTTCGCAGACTCCTTTTTTGAACTAAGAATTTCAGATTTACGCAAAGCCTCCGACAAGTTTTTATCTGTTGTTTTTTCCTTTGGATTGACGGAATCAAGCTGGGCAGGTTTTGTTGGCAAAATTAGATCCTTTGAATACTCTAAGGAAAATTAACAAAACAAAAAACCTACCAGTTCTGAGTTCATTAATATAAATTGCAAATTGTTTGCGTAAAAAATTAACACCATCCTTCCTAATGTGCTCCTTGATTTCATTACCCTCTGAATTATTTGAACTACAGGTAACTTCAAATTCTAATTCGTCCGCAGTATTTTCCTCACTCAGATTCACACAGGTGATAGTACCCTTAGTTTCACTCGCATTATTCGTTTCCTTTTTCCTTCCTAAGTAACAACATGTAAACTATGAAAAACCAGCCTACCTTTCCACTGTAATTCAACATCCCATTCATAGAAAGTAATTAATTTTCCTTTTCTATTGTTAGCAACGGCATCCCCTTCACATTTGCTAACTTCTGTTATTTCTACGAAATCTTTTTTCACATAAAAAGTTGTGATAGACTTACATTTATTTGAATCGAGGGTAAATCCTGTGAACAAGGCTTTTATTTTTTCTTTTGACCATGGCCCCGCATTTTTCTCTGTCCAATGCCAATTATTTACATTCTTTGCATCTGCTCTTTCCTCTACAATCCAACGGGGATCACCTTCACCCCACTTTGCCATTGACTCGAGTTAAAATCACGCGGGTCTAATTCGAGAATGTTCCAATGAGCTTCGACCTTGAAATGTTAATGAAACTAGAGAAAACCAAATACGTAATTGATATTATTAACCAAATAAATCTTGTCATTTTAAGTTTCTTAACCAAAACTTTTATGGAAATTACCTTTTTAATTTAAATTTGAAGCATCTACCTTGGCCTCCTTCTCTTTTGCAAACTTGAGGTATCTGATTTGATAACTGTAGCGAATTACTACACGAATAAGCTTTGATTTGTCCTCAGTAGCCCTTATGGAAAAATCCTCTTGGCTGCCGAATTTTCCTAAGTACCCACAAAGATATAGAAGAAACAGACGTATGACGTGAATGTGTGGAAATTCTCGTCTCTATTGAAACTTGCACAGCACTTGGTCATTAAATATTGCTTTAGGTATGCTGACCCAGTAATTGATATTGATTAGTCGATAGGTCCCTGAACTTATATCCTCAATAGCTTCCCAGTCTCGCTCATCATCACGACACATTCCAGTTTGTTCAAGCGTGCATGAAATCGTTTAGTTTATTCGTTTTCGGTTTATGCACTCCACATACCTTTAAGTTAACAAGGCTCATAATAATCGGGCCATCAATTTTTATAAATTCATATATTCATCTTCTCAAGTTCCTCACGTTCCTAGATGCCTTCTCATTTCTCACTATTCTCTCAATCACCATTTTTTAAACTTACTCTGAATAAACGTTGTACTAATTTTATCTAATTTTGGCATTTTAATTAAAACCTTCCTTACTCCTGCAAAATTTTATTTATATCACTCAAGTATCTTTCTGTTTCCCATCTGACTGATATACTTATAAAAGCGCAATCCCTAATAGATGAATAAAGAAGCACTCAGTTTCACTGTAACCTCTCCTGAGATATAAAGATTTCCAAAGTAGGTATTTTACGCAAAAGTCCAATTAATTAAAAGTAAACCTGAGCGAGTCTATCATAAATCTCAATCTACAAAGAATAGGGTCAATGTCATAAAAATTAACGGTTAGCCTTAGATTACTCGATATTAATTACACCTACAGAAGAATGCTATCGTGACTTGCTTGGGGATAGAGTCACAAATAAACCAAATCTCCTTTCTATATAATGTAATAAAGAAGGCCCATGCGACTGAAGTAGAAAGCATGCCTTCACCTACTGTCTAACCTTACCCAACGGCTGATATTAATATGAAAGCAGTCGAAGCAAGCCCCATAAGGCCCCCAGATCACATCGGTGAAAACGTTATTAACACTTCGTTTTTGTGCAAAATATGTTATTGTTTACCCATTAAGTGCGTGGACACGGAGAAATTATAAGACTAAGCTAGCAATTTCACCAGCTAGAACAGAAGAAAACCGACTAACCAAATAAACACGGAAGAACAATAGCCAACAGAAAGCAAACATTCCGGTATATACTCATCTTCAAGTCCCAGTGAGAGAAAAAATATTTATTTATTTCAAATGGTTGGCCCAAGACGCACCGCGTGGAGACAAGTCTATCGCACATCCCGTGAGAGAAAATATAAACGACAGAATCCCTTCCCCCTCCCCTTCCATGGGTGCCACCTCTACGCTTCCTGATTCCTTTTTAATAAGATTACGGATTATTGTCCGAAAAAGTAAGTGCTGTTTGACTGTCTCAGACGGTCAATATTAACCAGTGCTGTAAGTTAGTGGCAATTTCACTGATGGAAAAGAGACCCATATCATAAAAATTAAGTGATAAGTTTTATTACCTTACTTAATTACAACTTTGATTAATACGAATAAGAAACAAATTCATACGACATCAATATCGGATCAAATAAAAGTAAACCACAATAGTACGAGTACATGAGATGGTACAAAGGTAGAATAAAGGGGGGGGGCAAATTCAAGCCTAGCGGAAATTTTGAGGAAAAGTGAACATGGAAGCGTGCTTTTCCCTCTCAAGTCGTTTGGCCATCTTGTCGACCTCAAAACAATGCCAAATTCGGATATTTTCATCTCCCCCGATACTCGCAATCATCTCACCATCCGGTGAAGCACAAATCGATAAAACACGATCCTCGTGTTCTACGGAAAAATGAACAATACCAATCCTTTAAAACTTACCCGCTAATGTCTTAACCAAGTTAATATTAGGATACTTCCAAATCCGCAAGGCTCCATCTCCGTGGCTTGTTATGATTTCTCGATATTCTTCATTCCAAATTAAACCAGAAACCTAGAAATCAAACCCAATAATCACCTAAATTTAAACTGAAATCTAGCGGAAAAGGAGGAAATCAAAGTTATACCTGAGTTGTAACATCAACCTCACGAACACAGACACCAGAAAACGCGTTCCAGAATCGAAGATGATGATCCGCAGTACCACCACCAGTAGCCAGTAGAGTAGGTTTCCATGGGCACCAGCCAATAGCCTTGATAGCCGCTTCATGTTTATTGAGAATGTGGTTAGGTTCAACGCCTTGAAGTTGAAAGGATCGATCGGCATTATAAATGCACACTAGGTTGTCATTAGCACCAGAGGCTAGGAATCGAAAATCAGGGGACCACTGTAGACCACATATTTCTTGATCATGATTATATGCATAACCAATAACGTGATCCATTATACGCACATCGTGATGTCGAATTTCACCGAGTCTAGATCCTGAGGAGACAATATGTTGACACCAGGAAAGCGCTGGAACGCGTCCTGGCCTATTTTCATCAAGAATCATTGTGCGTTGGAGGGCACAAGCGCGAACATCCCACAGCTGAACCCGACCCATACTAGTTCCTATGGCGACGATATTCGAATCCTGTGAAGAGAATTTTACGCTAGTTATATACTCTTCGTTCAACCCAGCTGTCATTAACAGGCTGACGGTTCCTTCGAGAGCATTCCATAGATAAACTTCCTGATCTAGAGCCACAGCGAGAATATTTCCACCAGACCAATCCATATAATTGAGATAAAAGTCATTGTTGATATTAGGCGCATCCAGCATCTTTTCCGGACGCTAGAATAAGAGACGGAAATGATTAAAAAATGTCATAATGAACATACATCGGGGATATGGCGAGCAGATTTCTTGGCTTTAGGCACTTCATCCTCGTTTTTATCTGGAATTGCAGGACGTTCTTGGGAGAATTTCAAAATGCGTTCCTTGGGCTTGGGCAATTTTGATGGATCGGAAACACAAGTCGCTGCGGTTAGATAAAATGATGCCTGTTCCATATTCATTGCCTTACGACATGGAATGTATCGATCACCGCCTGTACCAACCCGAACGGTCCTCCTGGCCAATCCCATGGAAACTAGCTTGGGATCATAACCGCGGGGCTGCTTTTTCTTGGCACTAGATTTAATAGATCTAAAAGTAAAGATAAGAGAAATAGAGGTTACGAACACACTAACCCAATATTGGACAAGTCAGGAAGACTGTTGCTCAACAATAATTGTGGAGCATTTATTTTCACATTCTGAGAACTGGCTAAGATTCTTGACAAAGAACCATCCCCAGATTTGACTTCTTGCAAAGTTCGATTAAAGGAAGAGAACATTTCGTAAAATTTTCAATCTGAGTGTAAACAAAAAATATTGTGATCCAAGCAGGTACGTATAAAATTAAATATTATTAAAAAAATCTACCTAAAATGTGAATGACAGTCTTTGACATCCAAAACTGAAATTCATTAATTATGGTCATGACATCAAATCTTACCTAGCCAATGAAAATCACGCATAAACTCAAAACCGCTAAGTTTACAAAAAATTGCTATTTGCGGGCTGATCATTAGACTTTAACATTTAGATATTAAAACAAACTTTTATCTCTCTAAGGACGACTATTAATCAGCTTAGTAAAATCTTTTAAGAAACGTTAAATTATTTCTCTACCAAAGTGGATGACGTGAAAGTAAAAATGTTTGAAAATGCTTTTCATTTTTTGCTCAAGTCCAATTACAGTCACAAATTTGCTCATGTGCTGTAGGTTAAAAAATTCTCATTAATGGATTTTTTCACTGCTCGTTTAAATACGTGGATTTCTCTGACAACAATATCTTAGGCTGAAGATTCTAATCGGCTGTCATTTTATTCACTCTTGAGGTCAAGTTTTGAATCTGGGTAATAAGAAGGGTTTCGTTATTTGCGTGGTGATTTAATGCATTCAGCAAGAGCTTTATGAATATTTTTTTAAACACTTTTCCATCAGAAGTTTCTTGGACAAAATTATATTGGGTGTGAGCTCATGTGAAAGAATTCAAGTATATTTATTTTGGAATTTTTACAAATATGTCATTTTAATGCTCTAGAGCTTAATATACCCATAAATTTGCTATATCTTCCTCAACTTCGGAGTCGCTTTTTAAAACCCCAATATGACGCATGAAAATGGATGGGTGTGCACTAATAATAAGTGGCGTAAAATTTGGAGTATAATAAAAGCTTACTTCACTCTATTTTCACTTATTCAGAGTGTTCGCTTTTAATTTAATGAATTTCAAATGTTCAAAGCTGTAGCTTAATTATCTAGATGTATAAAAATCTTTGAATCTAAAAGCTATTGCCAGTTGTATTAAGTTGAATGATTGTTCGCATTTGCCCGATCATTTCTCTCCTTATATCTAAGAGAGTAATTGACTTGACATAGACTCGGAAAAGCCAAAATAGGTCATTCGAAGAGGATTTAACTCGATTAATCTAATATGAATTTTTTTAAATTGAGCGAGAGAACTTGAAAGTAATTTATTTGTACTCATTGGCGTTTTTTGCATTACTTGACAGTCTACATAGCCATTCATGTAATTTAACCAACTTATTAGATTCTGCCTTGATTTTTTTATGATTTATCATAATTTTCGAGCAACATTATTCTACTTAACTGGTCTAAATCTATCAGCTGACGGTACTGTGCATTGTAGTCGGGAACATTTCCATGAAAAATCAAATCTAAAACGGCGCATATTTCGTGTTTAAGGGCATGCTGAACTTTATTTGCACATTTTATCATGGAAAAATTTTAAAGGTTGGGAATTGAAGCATTTAAATTTCCACAATGCATGTTGAGCTAAATAAAACCATATCTAGTTTAATTTTACTGAAATCACGATATGCTCATTTAAGTGTTAATATTTTTATTAACCTGACGAAAATTGATGCTTAAATACCAAATATTAGAATGGATATGCACATCACAAAAACTGAATGAAATCCAAATACCTTAGCATTATTATAATATAAAAATTCTAAAACTCTCTGAACATGCGGAACAACAGAATGAAGGGAGATTAACTGACCGGGGCTAATTAGAGCAAATAATTAAATTTCATTTGAATCGTTGATGCATTAAGTTAGCTACTTTCTTGCGCAGTATTCAGATCTTAGTGACCGTTTTGTTGGTAATATCACTTCAATTCTGCTTTAAGTTTGTCATGCCTAAATGATTGTAAATATCACCAGTAAATGAATTTAAAATAGATTTAACTCAAGGTAAAATCAAATAAATTTTACAATACGAAATCTCTGCCGTTTTAAGGCCTTTAATGTTTCTTTATCATTAAGGAAAATATGAGGGGTTGTTTAACTGAAATCGATCACATCGATCGCGCTTACAAAATATCTTATTGGGTAAAATGTAACAAAATTAAGTCAATAACTTAAATGTTTGGCTGGAAATAGGATCATTTCCAAGTGCTCCTGTTTTATTATTTGTTACAATACATGTTCGATAGCCGTTGTTTTATTTCACGGTTATCACCAGTTTAATTAAAGTTTTCCGTTATAATAGGAGGTGGTGAGTTTAAATATAGAGCTAAACATCTTTGTCGATCGTGAGAACAACCTTGTTTCTGGGCGTAATGGGCACTTGAATGACGTCCAGAATCACAAAATATTCAGTAACAAAGTTCATGTGCGCATGTATGTGCTGCATCTTTGTGCAGCCTCGCATTATCGGTAAGATCTCAAAAGTACAGCCCACTTTTCGTTCTCACTTCGCACAACTCCAACGCTTCGTATTGACCAGGATTCAATCAGTCAGTCAAGGTGAGCTTCCGTCTCTTGCCCCTATCCCTTTGCCAGAATTACACCACTCAATAGATTAATTTTTGCTTTTAACAAAATTTCCAGTAAGTAAATCTACGTAGGTTACTTCGGATTGTTAAATAAAAGTCAGTCTACGCATTCCTAAAACAATAATGTTGGCCCGAATAGTTAACTTAATTTTAATATCTAGCCAGCTTTTGCAACGATTTATTGACATGTTTTTTTTCTAACGCTTGCTGTTTGCTATTGATCAATTTCTCCAAAATGTTAGGAGCTTAATTGAATTATCGATCCAAAATATCTGGAGGTTAAATAACAACTCAAGTTTTCAAATTGAAGTAAATAAGAACCTACAAATAAAGTTGTGTCGTACTCCTGGAAACTAATCGAATCTTAAGATGAAATACCAAATTTGGTTGTAAATATTAATTAGTATTCTTGTGGCTATCTTAATTACAAAGTTAAGCAGCATTCTTGTAATACTTTCCTAAAATTTCTCTTTAAATAGTAACTTAAATTGATGCTTATGAACAATGCAGGTTAACTATTTGTAAAAATCAAAACCTAATTGATCAACTTGAATATTTAACAAATTTTAAACTCATTATAAAAGAAACATAATAAACTCAAGGAAGAATCAGAATAATTCCTTTTATGTTACGTGAGAATTATCAGTTTTCGCTTTCTCTAAAAGTACTTTTATTTTATTTTGCTTCGTCGTTTCATAGAGAGGACCATTAAAGTCCATCTCATCTCCGCACTTTGAAATCAGTGAGACTAAACCTCTTATAAAGCTGATTTTGCTTTTTTTAACCAATTTTTCTTCAAATTCAAGAACGAAATCAGGTTGTTGGAGGTTTCTTGTTTTTTCCCTACTTAAGGTACACAAAACCACAGATCCAAGTCGAGATTGGATTTTAGTGTTTTAAATTACTAATTTTATTTGATCGAAATAAGTTTTTAGTCAGGGAAAAGTGTAAGGTGAGGGAAAGAAGCTCAATTATCTAATTCTCATTTACAAGTGAGATTTTGAATCTGAAGAGTGGGGATTTCTGTGGAGTTTTAGCTATAACTGACATGTCTTCCTCTTCAAAATATTGTTTTGCTTGAAATATTTGAGAATTTTGCACTTTTACAAAATAAGACGCTTCGGTGCAATCGTTCTGCTAGAAAGTCTACTTTATGGATCCACAGCATGCCGGTCACTAGGCTTCACTTGACCACAATTAATGCAGAGTAGAGAGACGGTTAAAACTAGGCACAATCAGCCCAATACGTGTTATTAACCAAGCAAAGGCATTATATGCTTCATAGAGTGTCTTTATATTGTAGACTTTGCTAGGTCAAAACAGCTTTAGTTCCAAATATCTGCCAAAGTGTCAGAGATGATGTTCGTCCTCGTCATAATTAGATGATGGATGAGTTACAGGCTATGATTTAAAACTCATTTTTTGCAGAAATTGTTATAACCACTTCATGAAAAAATTCATTAACCACCAAATTTTATCGCTTTTTGAAATAAACCTGAAAGTCACAGTCAGCTTTCTTCATTTTTATTAATATTGGGGTAAAAATAAAGTAAATCGCAAAGAATACAAGCCACCATGACCCGACTGTATGTCATATATGACCCCTTCACAGTACTCATCTTACCTTTTCACTGCCTTTGTGTCTGTCTAACTCTTTCACATCTGTCAATCATTATTCTGTCCCTCCTCTCGACTTTTTGTCACCTTGATGCTCCTCCTCTCTGTGAAGCCCGAAGTCAGCTAAAGGCCTAATGATAACGGTCAAAACGCCTGCCATTTGAAATAAATAAATTTGTAGTGACGAGCGAGAAGAAACAGAAACTTGCCATTTTATTAATATTTATTTATTTATTTCAAATGGCAGACTTTGTGATATTTATCATTAGCCCTATTTTTATTAATATATAATATGCCGATCGGATTTTCTCCTTCGTTTAATTAAATAAGCGACTTTATTGATGCGTCAAAATAAAATCGATAACCTTGGTGCACGCCTTCGTGGTTAGCTGATTTTTGTCGCGCTTAAATTGACCTCTAACCCATTTTTGTCCTTTCAGCAAGTTAAGAAGGGCGTCCACCAGTTCTGATCTTAGCGTCTCATCAGCCATTTCAATGCAAATTAGACTTTGCGAAAGAAAATTTCAAAGGAAATAAATTTTATCACATGCGTGATTCGCTTGAATAATAAAGTTCATGCAGTGACTTAAAATTGTTCACGTCGTAACCCGTTTAGAAATAGCTAATGAAACTGAAATACTTTCTTTTGGTGCTCTAACTTGGCCTAAATGCGAAAAAGCATTAGAAAATCTAAGCACAAATTAGATTTTGGACACTTGATATCTGGGGTAAGTGGACAGTGGTCTTCAATTGAAAAAAAATCATTTTCAAATAATAGATCTGGAATCTCTTAGTAAAATTAGCATCTTGAATCCTGCAAGAAAGATCTTAACAACATTAACATCTACCTTAACGGGCACCTCTCTAATGTTTCTTCACAGTCGAACAAGCTAATTTCTAATTTCATATTCCACAATTTATTTATCACGATTGGGGACTTTTAACTTCCGGAGGTCTTAACAGTTTTATCAACCCGTATCAACATAATTCTTTTTGTTTAAGTATTGCGTTTGAACATTCTTCTCAAAATGATCAATTATTTATTTAAATTCACGTGTTGCCAGCAGCTAATAGGGAAATAGGCATTAAGAAGAATCCACAACACCTCAAAATATCACTAATCCTGGTAAAAGCTACTCTAATAGTCGAACCAAATTGGGCTTAACGCTCTCCTCTTGCTAAACTATTCATCTTCTTAAAATCATCGAGTGTAATACTGGCTTTGTGAATTAGAACCTATTGAGAATTGGTAGATTTCGCGCCCATTTTTGATGAGCCTCTACAAGAGGTGGGATCTAAATATACCTTTGTTGCTAAATATCAAATATGGAAGTGACGTTACATCATAGGTCATAACAGTTATAATGTGTGTAAAAGGCAAGAATAAGAATTAAAAGTACTATATGGAGGATGAGTGGAGGTGACCATCTCACCATGCTGACCGCAATGAACCCCCCCCCCCCCCCCGACACGCACGTTTCGTCCACATACTGCGTTCCTGCTAGGCTGCTTGCAGATTAATGTGTCATAATGGTTCTGACTAGGCGGGTGGCTTGGCTTTGAATCAGATAAAATGCCATCAACTGAGAATTAAGGTGATCAGTCAGTTGTGAGTGTGTGCGCACAACAGTGACAAAGATCTATGAGTCATCTTATGCGTACGCACGTATTTATATCTACGACGCTGACAAAGATAATTAGGATTGATTCAAAGATGCGATAGCGGAAGATTCAATATTAATTACAAGCGATCTGTATACATATAGACTCAAACCTAAGTAGTGCTTAATTGTCCTTAGCAGGAGAAATTGTAATTTTTTCAAGTGCAAATTATTTAAATTTGGTCTCTCTCCTCAGCTTGAATTCTGAGATAAGCCTTTTTAAAATTGCTAAAACAAAAATATTGGCAAAATGATCAGAAAACCCAATAAGCAGGACAAAACATTTGTAACGACATTCCTCGTTTATTTGGAATGATCAAAGTTCTCTTTATCACATAGGCCTGATTTACGAAAATCATTCAAACTATTTAAATACATTTAATAGAGATATCTTAGTCAATTTGGGTGTGCTTATTAGTGTTAAGAATTATACCAATGATTATTATTGATGCAAAACTATTTGTGGTTATTTTCTAGATCTATATCGATTTTCTAAAGTTAATATAGAAGTGATGAAACTCAATCACTATAGCGCATTGTTACAGGCGTAATTTTCACGTGCAGCTATTGCAGCTTTGTTAGAGGTAACACTAAATCCAGTTAGTAGATCTACTTTTGGAGAAGACCAGGTTAGGTTCAGAACAATTCCAAAAACAAGAGTTGAATTTATCAAGTATTTGCTGAACATATTCGGAAGGCAAAGTGATCATAAATGTAACTACCAAAGTACCCCAGACTGCCAAAATTGTTTTTTTCTCCTTTTCATTCAATATCAATTAAAATTACCAGTCAAATCAGCCGGATCAACTTTTGTCTTGTGGGAGTACTGATGTCAAATTAGAAAAGGCAAGACGAGAAAGGAACTAGATCCTATTGGGGCAATAGCAATGGAAACCAGTGAAAGAATGAAGGGAAAAGCGTTCACAAATCGATAATTAATATTCCCAAATTGCGTTGATTAATCACAGCTCAAACAAAAGCAAAAAACGGAAACAAAACTAATTTTTTATTAAGCATTTCAAGCAATATCTACCGGAAATTCTACTAAATTTTTGGGGAATCTTTCAATCTGCCCCTTGTACAATTTGACCTAAATGCGAAGACCGTCAGATTTTGGAATAGCACCTTCTCCTCTTTCCATAGATTTACCGAATCTGTGCTGCTTTAAGCATAACTTCTGCCCAAAATTAACCCCTTATAAATAGTGAATGTTCAGTTCCCAGTTTGAACTTAAAAATTATTATTATTATTTCAAATGGCAGGCGTTTTGAATATTTATCATTAGCCATTTAGCTGACTTTGGGCTTTGCAGAGGGAGGAAATGAAAGTGAGAACAATTCGGGAGGGGGAACAGAAGAGTGATTCACAGATTTAGAGGAGACAGACAGACACAAAGGCAGAGAAAAGGTGAGATGAGTACTGTGGAAGTTGTGTAAAATGACATACAGTGGGGTTATGGTAGTTTGAAGTCAGAAGTCAGCTGCCGGTTAATAGACTTTTTGCCGTATGAGAATACGTTGCCCAGGGTGCACCACGTGGAGGTAAGTCTATCGCACACCCCTGAACTTAAGAATTAGGGCAAGCATTTAGTTACATATATCAGTTCTATCGTTCTCATTAGAAGTCAATTCAAAAACTATAATTGGGTGGACATGGCGTCAGCTATATAACACTTTAGATTGGTTAAGGAAATTTGCATATCTATAACGAAGCCCACCATTAGAATAACGTCAAAGCGCACATACCTCGGATCTTGGGGCTTGGTCCGAACTCTCAATCAATTTCTTATTCAGGCGAGTGTTTTGTGTTTTGTTCAGTTCTTTTAACCCCCAATTTTCCTTGAACGTCCAAGCGATTGTAATTATTTGCGTTGGTTGGCCATAAGATGTAGCAAAAGAGGAATACGTATATGTTAGTTTTTATTCAAGTGTCATAAATGGAATATCCTACTATAAGCCAGATTAGTGCATCCAAACACAGATTTATAGCTCATAAATAACATTTTATAATCACAGTATCATATTGATGGATCACCAAATGACAAAGCAAAATATTAATCATTAAACGGCCCTCCATTTGTTCCAATATATCTTGTTTATTACATTATTTTAAAATTTTATAAGGCTAAGCTTTCAGCGTAACTTGGTTGTCTAATAGTTTATTAACTAGCACTTAATCAGTTGCTCGCTTAAAGGAATTTAAAAAAATCGATGATTTTTACGTCTTAGTCGCCAAACGTGGAAAAGTTGACTTTCGAAATGAGACGGAAATTTATATCGATTTTTCCCAGCACTTAAGCCGATTTGGGTGGCTTTAAATTAGACTTATAGGAGTATTTGTATGTATTTTCTTGGCAGAACCACATTGAATGGGTCTCAACTTTCAAAAAATGGCTTCAGCAGTTCGAATCTATTTGGAGAACGAACACGGAGATAGAGAGGAGTTGCTTGATCCTAACAGCGAAGTGGAACTTCGGAGTGACAAATTTTTGCCGACTAAACGGGATTTAGATAGCAAAAGGATTCGTGAGTTGATATTTTTTATTGTCCTACACATACACGCATGTTAGTTTCATGAGAAAGCATTTCTTGTTACCGCTTTCCACCTTTATGGTTTTTCCTATCTAAACTAACAAAAACACTAGAAATCTCCATATTGTAATAATAATTGCTTGAACAAGACATAAAAACTCGTGGTGAAAATAATAAAAACGACGATTGCTCTTATCGCAATTTCAGTCAGATGACAGCCATTAAAACAATGTCATCTTACTTGTGTGCTTATTCATGCATTTACAATCAAGTTTAAAGACGTTGTTTCAATCAATCTAAAGATTTTGTGAAATTTAGCACATGCAATGTTCTGATCACTTAAACCATTTTAAGTTGAAAGTTTACTTGAAAACGTAATTTAGTTTTTAAGAAAGTCTTTGGATAAAAGAGCAACGTTGAATGATGAATTAAATCCTAGTAAAATAATGTCTTCAATTTAAAATACCCATATGATGATAATAATTGTTCATGTTATAGCTCAATTTTAGTGCTTAATTAATAGGTGATGCGTTTTAAAGATTAGCGATATCACTTCAACTTAGTTCCCGGGCGATTGCAGTTTCGCGTAGTTCATACTGTATTAAATACGATTAGTTGTGATATTTTTTATGTTTTTTAAAGTCAAGGCACTACTCCTCACATATTTTTCATCCAGAAACGCTCTACTTGATACTTGTCTCATAGCAATGAAATACAAAACATTGAGAGTTTAGACAATCTTGGGAAAGTTAGTTATTTTTACGGATTTGAGGTAGTCATAAGTTCGGATATTTTCAAACCTCTTTAAATCCCTTGTGAACTTAACTACGATTTATAAGGGAAATTTGCTTTCTCAAACATTCTTAAAACCATCTTTGCTCCACTCAGGTCTGTGAGTTTATGAGTTGTAGTTAAGTTTATATTCTTAACGCTTTAAGTGGGTTCCGATTAGAGAAATTCTTAACATACTTTATGTCAAAATGCTATTGCTTCTTTTTGTAGAAAACACTGAAAAACATATAAAGCTCATTACTCTGTAGAGTACAAGCTTTAGCTCATAGTGTGCGACAATGTACTTTTCACTTAAAATTTTAATTCAGCATCAGTGATTACAAACAATGCTTGAACTGTAAATGATGTTGTTGCTATTTGTAATTTTACCTTAAATGCGTTTATTTCAATTCTTTCTTTGTGCTTTGCCATAAACTTTAAGTAAAGTAAAGTTAGTGGATCGTTATATCTGAATTTCCATTCCCAGTGACCTATTTTAAAATGTCGACATTTCCACTTTCATTATTGTGTTAGTGATTCTAATAATTGACTTTGAAAGGTAAATACATTTGATTGAGTTCCAGACTCGACCGAAAATCCTACGGAAGATACCTTTGACGCCTCATTTATCGAATATCTGCCTAGGTTATTGTTGATATAGTGGGGATTGAGGAATGGTTTGGTGCAAAAGAACAGTCAAACAAGTCTTTCAGGTTGAAGGGATCATTTTGTTAAGTTCCTTGTACATCTTTGATCTGTCCGATCGTTGAACCAAAGCGGTACTTTTCGTGGTGTTCAGAAGAGGTTTGTGTCTTTTTAATAAAATGGTCTCTAAGCTGTTTGTTTTGTTTACAACTAAATCTAACTTAGCGGTGAGAATTTAGTTAAACCAAGGTAACAGCCTCTATATCTGTATTACTTCTTCCTTGTTTCATCGTAACATCAGCATTTTACCTGATTATATATTATTTATTATAATTACTTGGGTCCTCTTTTTATTATAGTTTGATAATCTGAACGAAAAAAGTCGAAATAAAAGTTTTAAAATTAGGTACTTTATGCCATTAGAATCTAGGTTTATTAAAAAATACTCTTTATCAGTTACAATAAGACAACTTAAAGATATGTATTCAAGCGAACAGTAAATAGTACTTGGTCATTTATTTGATAAAAGTGTTAGCTCTCGATGACACAGATAAAAATGGACTTTCTCCGTTTTTATGCGCACAATTTTAATTTCAGCTTTCATGAAAAAATGGTTTGAGTTCATATGCTTAGTTGGTAGAATTATAAAAAGAGAATTGTGGTATTTTAGAATCGATTTCCACCTGTTTTGGTATAGTAGGTAATAGGGTATAGTCAAAAAATGCATTTAATCCCTTAATACCTGTGAATTATACTCTTCTTTTGAAAAATGCACCCAACCGCACTCACGCGTGTCTCACAGCAGACTGATGCCGCCGATGTGATGAGTTATGGTGGTATAGCAGGCGCAGGATATAGACACGTATTGAACATGTTTTAATCGGCAACAGCGCCTTCCGTTTAGTGGCTAACGCCAAGAGAGCTTGTTTTGAAAGAGGGCCGTACGGTAATGTGATATCCTAAAATTGTGCCAAAAGCACTTGACGTAGTTGAACCATGCAAGCGGTGTATAATCGATTGTCCCGACATTGTATCTGTTCTCCCGTAGGTTTCACCTTCGGCCCTTTAAGGTCAATTAACTTATGCCTGCCTCTGTGGTCAAGGCTTAATCAAAGGATTTAAAAGGCGGAATATTAGTATATCTTACTAAAAAAACTCCTCACGCGTTATTAATAAATTAGTAGATAAAGGGCCAACAAACTTATTGACCAAAAAAAGATGCCTATCTGGTATTACAACATTACAGCAAAAATTAGCTTTGAGGGTTTTAAAACTTAGAATCAAAGGCCAATTAGAACGTTCTCTACTTTTCTGTGGTATTTTGGCTAAAGATATTATACATTACCATGACTCGCAGTAAAACAGAATGACTTTCCAATTAGTTATTGCAAAAATGTAGCTGAAACGGTGTTGGCAGCTTTCGATTAGGAATATTTATTTATTTATTTATTTCAAATGGCAGGCGTTTTGCTAGCTATCATTAGCCCTTTAGTTGACTTCGGGCTTCACAGAGGGAAGGGTCATCAAAGTAGCAGAAAGTCGAGGAAGGGGAGCAGAAGGGCGATTCACGGATGTAAAAGAGGCAGACAGACACAAAGGTAGAGAAAAAGGCAAGATGAATGCTGTGAAAGGGGTTGAATATGACAAGCAGTCGGGCTATGGTAGTTTGAAGTCAGAAGTCAACTGCCGGTTAATAGACTTTTTTGCCGTATGAGTATACGTTGCCCAGGGTGCACCACGTGGAGGTAAGTCTATCGCACACCCCCGATTAGGAATAAAGAGTGGGGGAATTATAATGCAATCGTCAATGTATTTTCCCCCCTTCAAAAGAGTATGATCTTAAGCAATTTACAATTCTCGAACTTAACAAAGTTCGTTCAGGGTGATAAAGGTATTCCAATTCATTTGTCTCGACTGTATCTAAGCCTAAAACCTGTTGAGAAATAAGAAGCATTGACCTCATGTTTTAATTCATTTGCCTATTCAAACAGCTACATGTATGACAGGTCATATCTGACAGAGTGTATCTGAAAACACACAATTTTACAACATCGATTTGTAAATTCTATACTCACCCTTCGTCTACGGATCTGTAGGTTGATATCAACAAATCGTTTTTCATTATATTCGATTAAAACTACGAACAGCAGCGTAATTTTTTTAATATTTCGTAAATTATTCAATAGGAATCTGGGCTAATTTTCCGAATTTCTGCTTTGTAGGTGAATCAATCCTTTCCTCTTGGTTCAGAACAGCCAATGATCGTCAAAAGAAGCTTCGAACCCTAGTTGAGGAGTACAACGAACTCGTTCTTGCTGTTAACCAAGGTCAAGAGACTGCGAAATCTTGAACCCCTACTATTCCGTCGTCTCAGATGTCGTAAAATCAAAACAATTGCATATGCAGCAGCACACTGAAGTTCAGAAATATTGTCTTTCTATCATGCTCCTCTTCCCTTTACTTTTGCACAAATAATTATTAACAAGATTTGTATTTATAATGTCTAATAAATTGTGAAAAAAGGTTAGGTAGTGAAGATATGGCTTAGAAACTCATATATTATCGAAAATCTTTTTTGGCCTTATGACAGATAAAATTTTCAAAGAAAGCTTGTAGCTAATTGCTTTTCTAACCAACTCATTACTGATACGCAAACTAGTGAGTCCTATTATCAACACTTTGAGTTGGGAATCGAGCTCGTAGTTGTCAATATTACTTTTATGAGGGGGGNCCGTAGAATGACGCCTTTATGTCTAGCTACTATATTTACAGTAAATACAATCCACCATCTAATTCTTATTTCAATAACCCTGTGACTTTAATGCTAGATTTCTTTCATTTTGAATTTGTATTTATCTTATTTCAGAAAACAGAAATTCTGAAGGCAGGATGAGCAAATGACGGCTCATGAGGACAATTTTTCTCAAATATTTATAATAGTTAGGTTAATTGTGATCGCATATTACTATGGAGATTATCGATTTCATCCCTTGAAATATTCATTCATCATTCATTTCAAATGGCAGGCATTTTGATAGTTATCATTAGCCCCTTAGCTTATTTCGGGCTTCACAGGGGAGGGAACATCAAAGTAACAGGAAGTCGAGGGGCGGGGAACAGAAGAGTGATTTACAGTTGTAAAAGAGACAGACAAAGGTAGAAAAAAGGTGAGGTGAGTACTGTGAAAGTAGTCGAATATGACATATAGTGGGGTGATGGTGGTTTGAATTCAGAAGTCAACTGTCAGTTAATAGACTTTCTTCCGTATGAGAAAAAACGAATGCCGAGTGATAGAATTTTTGCCGTAAGAAAGTACGTTGCCCAGGGTGCACCACGTGGAGGTAAGTCTATCGTAGTCAACTGTCAGTTAATAGACTTTCTTCCGTATGAGAATACTTTGCCCAGGGTGCACCACGTGGAGGTAAGTCTATCGCACATCCCTCCTTTGAAATATAAATATGCACAATTTATATTTAAAAAAAAAATATTCAATCTAGCTAACCGAAATTCATTAGCCTACTTACTTCTGTTTGTACATCGTAAAGGGCCTGAGAAAAGTTCTTGAAGTTCTCGAAAATTGTGCAAAATTGAAAATAAGGAGTTTGCTACCTGAATACAACGGAAAGCACCTCTGATGCAATTTGACAGCAATTAAATGAGATACATAATTGTAGTACTAGTATCGGATTAGTGAATGACCTATAAATGAGATCTAATTAATAATCTGTTCTCATTCCGAGAACTCAATTCATGTCTTAAATAAATGTCTCAATTTGTTGTTTTCATTATTTTACGCTCAGTAATACAAAATTTCAATATTTAATCATGAGAAGGAAGTGAAATTTAAAATGCTCCTCAATCTTGTTTCTACTACAAGCAGCCAGGTACCGAATAGAAACATTTTGTTCATCCAAATCATTGAATAACTATCTAATACAAAGCCACAGGATCGATCTTTCCTGATTAAAATGCTGACAAACAGGAACTGAACATTGTTGAAAGGAATTTCCTACAATTCAAAGCAAGAATCGAGAAATTTGAAATTCAGAACCTAAGCTAATTATTTATTAAATAGTGTACAATCTGATTATCTAATTTGTTTAGACTCTTAAATACATTGACGCTGCTCTCAATATCTTTTTAGCTCCCTTTCCTTAATTATTTGTCTATTTTTGTTAATGGAGGTCCATAATCTGTGTTGTCTCAATTTGAGTACGCCTTGTCTTACACACATTTTTTTATACGAGCAAATACACTTTCATGCTGGTGCATATTAAAGCACTTGTTCGTTATCGATTAGCTATCGATTTTAAGCCCTAAACTGTATAAACGGCCTTACATGATAACGTCTTTAGCAAGCCATCGTTAAGTGAAATAACCATCTTACTTTCTAATAAAATTCTAAAATTTTCTCATTGCTTCATCGTGAGATGGGGATATACTAATATTACGGAAACTGAAATCACTCCTGCTTTTGCATTTTGGATTAAAATACGACTCATCAGAAAGGTAGATCGACTTTGCGGAATATGAAAGCTTCATTCACGTGAGATTATTTATATTTACCAACTTTTTCTTATAATACCGACACGTGAGTCAGCACTTGGTGCTTGGCAATAAACAATCTGCTTTCTATTCTTCATTTGCTATTCCCCAATATGTTTCGTTATTAATTTATTTTTGAAAGAAAACTATGAAATGTAAAAACTGCCTTCTTTGAAAACGAGCCTTAGGTCATAAATATGCTTTTCGTATCATTGCAAATGTAATCAATTATGAATTTATGACCCAGAAATGAGCCAATCGTGAATGCTCAAGCCAAATTGCACGTGTGTGAATTTAAAGCAAATGTTGCATCGTTGTTTTGGCTACGTTTTTTTACTACACCAATACGCGTTGGAATTAAGTCTTTTGCCCATTTCTGTGCAATTTAAATCACTGATCGAACCTCTCCTCGCGGAGCCGGATCTGCTTGCGATGATCCAGGAATGAGATTTACAGGATTTGCTTTAATAGGAAAAGGAATGGATGAAAATAAGAATTCTGGACAGTGAGTCTTCCCCTTATCGCTCTTTTTTACGCAAACTGCAAGGGCAACCGTAATAACTAGGTATTAGTGCATTTTTATCTTCATTTGCCAAGTATTTAAATATTTCTTATGGAAATAAGCGATACTGTATTTTTTACTTATGGCAGAGCTAATTATTTCCTATTTTAAGCACGTGGTGCGCCTAGATCCGAACCATTGTAAAATGGTCAAAATAAGTCGGATAAGTCTTGACTAAACCCCAGCAAACTCATGGGTAAAACCACTAGTATAAAACTACTCCCGAAATTAGCTAGGCTACCACCACAACAGCGTCGCGTGGTTTATAGCGGTTGTGCGTCACTGACACAAAGCTTAGTCATTAAAATACAATTTTGGATTTGCTGACCATGAAGTTACTATTGGCTGTTGATTGGCTGAGAGGTCTCAGCACTCACGACCGCACTTACTCGCTAACGCGATCGGCAGCACAGCCGCACCTGATGGGTATGGGATCAGTAGCACGCGCATGAGATTCCTTGATTCAGCCAGTTAGTTTTGTGCTTTCTACGGTAGCAAATTAATATGGAGAAACGTCTTCCCGAGATCATGATCAATAGTTCATTTTGGCGATGCTCTCTCTTAATAATAAAAGAGACTTTCCTTAATTCAGAACTTAGAAAGTTGAGGTTGTTACTCTAGTGTGATTCTATGATATTTAATATTTATTTATACAAAATGGCAGGCGCTTTGATAGTTATCATTAGCCCTTTAGTTGACTTCAGGCTTCACAGATGGGAAGGAACATCAAAGTGAAAAAGGCCGAGATGGGGGGGGGGACAGAAAGGTGTTGCAAAGATGTAAAAGAGGCAGACACGAGGTTGGAAAAAAGGTGAGGTGAGTACGGTTAACTAGTCGAATTTGACATACAGTGGGGTGATGGTAGTTTGAGGTCAGAAGTCAACTGCCAGTTAATAGACTCTATTGCCGTAAAAGTATACCGAAAGCCGAGTGATAGACTTTTTTGCCGTAAGAAAATACGCTGCCCAGGGTGCACCACGTGGAGGTAAGTCTATCGCACACAAACTTCCGGTTAATAGACTTTTTACCGTATGAGTATACGTTTCCCAGGGTGCACCACGTGGAGGTAAGTCTATCGCACACCCACCAGGGTGCACCACGTGGAGGTAAGTCTATCGCACACCCCTTGTGGGTGCACCACGTGGAGGTAAGTCTATCGCACACCCCATGATATTTAATATTGTGTTAAATTAATGCAGAAGAAGTCTTTAAAAATAGTAATTAGTGTTATTTAGTGCCTTTTCAGTAAGAAAAATTCATTTACTATTTTTCAATTACACTTCTTGCCTTTTTTCTTATAATCTCATGAATATTACCCACCAACTTTTCATCATCAATGCCATTTAACAAAGCGTCCACTTAAAAGTTCATATTTTTTTTGTTTCCAATGCCACTTAACTTTGCAGGGCCTTTAGAAACCTGAAATATTTAGTGTCAAATACGTCAGCTAAATTTGTCAAATAGGCTCTAAAATCTACTTTCATTTTAAACCCCCCCCCCCCCCCCAATGAACCTGACAGTCGCTTAGGGAGGCCGGAATCACTGAAGTAAGGTGCTCTGATAATTAGCTAATATGTTTAAATGGTAGATTTGTTTGCGGCATATGCTGTCTTTCTTCATAACTACCCATTTCTTACGTGTTGGGAAGGTCGAGAGGAACCCACCCTTCCCTCTATTGCCCTTGGAAAAAACTTTACCCTTAAACAATAGATAATTCCACTTAAATTCATTATATGAATTCCAGGTGTTAATATTTAACAGGATCTATAGCGCTTCATAGTTTCCCTCAATTATTTATTTATTTATTTCAAAGGGTTGGCGTTTTGACAGCTATCATTAGCCCTTTAGCTGACATCGGGGCTCCACAGAGAGGAGGAGGAACATCAAAGTGAAAGTGAATCGAGAGGGGGATAGAATAATGATTGACAGATGTAAAAGAAACAAACAAACAGAAAGGCATAGGAAATGTAAGATGAGTACTGTGACAAACAGTCGGGTCATACTAGTTTGAAGTCAGAAGTCAACTGCCAGTTAATAGACTCTTTTGCCTTCAAAGTATACTTTGCCCAGAGTGCACCACGTGGAGGTAAGTCTATTGCGCACCCCTTCCTTTAATTATAGATTCTTACAAAACAGTTTTGAGAGAGGAATACGGAGAGCTTAGATCAGCCCGTTTCGAGAATCAAAGCTTGCAACCTTAAAGGTTTATTAAAACAAGAGTAACAGTGTTTCACCTGCATATG